AAAAACACCAAATTCCCTGAAGAGATTTTCAATAAGAGATCCACTGGAGTCTCCACATATGTCATTTCTTGGGTAGTTATTCTCTCTGAATAGTCAGAAGTGTTGGTGCGTTCTGGGGGTCCAGATGGGCATGAGTGCATTATTGTTCCCATAGGGTTCAGCATGGGTGTCATTACCCCATCTCCATCTACAGTCACAGTTAGAACACCCTGATAGTTTTCTACACATTCTTTATAATTTTACATTCTGATAAATTCACTGTACATTATAAATGAACTCAACTTATTACATCCAGCTCAGCAAAAAATGCCAGTTTTCTCTTTCTTTCTTTCTTTCTTTCTTTCTTTCTTTCTTTCTTTCTTTCTGGCAGCATTGTCAGCTCACACTCATACTCTTCAGCATACCAAGACTACCCTGCTCATCTTCACTAGACTAACAGATTATTCTAAATCAGTATCACTTTTATACCATCTCCAAGTTGAATCATATAGTGTATTCCAGTGTCAGTCAAGTTGTACTTTTTCCTGAAATGATTACATTGTTCCTTCCTATATTAGACAAAGGAGACAATATGCCATGAGGAGGGTGAGTGTGACAAAACTTTTCCTGGGGAGATGCAACACACATGTCTACTCACTCAAGACAGAGAATGAAATGATCACTGTCATCTCAGGACCCCCAAGACCAAGTTCTCAGCACAAAGGAGATTTATTTGCTCCAAAGGAACAAAGGGCAGAAAATAAGATACAAATACAGGTAATAAAGGGTGGTAAACAATGGAGAGGCAAGAGGGGTATTTCTGCTGGGGACAAATCTCTCTTCACTAAGCACGAAGCTAGGAATGCCTCTAGATAGACAAAAGACAGATGTGGCTCAGGGGAAACAGATAGTTTATAAAGATAATTGGGCAAACTTGTGTCCAGATGAGGTGTTTAATTTTAATTGTACATGTTAATTAGGTGAGCCAAAGGGGGCTTTTGATTTCTGGACTTCATTACTTTGATAGTTGGACCTTGGTAGTCAGTCTCAGAAGGAGAAAGTAGCCATATAAGGGAATAGCCCTTGCGGGCTAGTTTTAGGACCATAATCTAACAGTTTATAAAAAGGCAAAGGGAATGGGGGAGAAAGGCAAGGCCTTCCAGAGGCATGTTTGCCATGCTTAGGTTGGCCAGAGTCCCTTTGGGAACCCAAGACCGACCAAAGTATGAATACCATGAAAAGTCCAACTTGGTGAACCAGTGAGTTCTATTGAGTTACTTTGAGAATATGAGTAAGGGGTTACTTATAGTAGCAGACATGACTCAAAGAGAGCTGCATCACCAAGGGCCACTCAAGCTTGGGTGAAAGCTCCCAAAGCTGGGAAACCGGGAGCACATTGTCCAGCCTGCTGGTAGCTCAACAGGATGAACCTAGTTCCTAGGTCCATGTTCCTAGTTTGTTCCTTGCAGGCACCTGGGCTGGTTACTGTCTCTTCCAAGCAGCTGGTTTGACTTGAGAGTCTTCTTTGCAGCTTGTCTCTGCTCTGCACAGGTAACTTTTGGCTGTTATTGTTTACTCTGGCAAGGAGTTACCTGGTGAATCTAGCCAATTTCAGAAACTTCCTGAAGCTATTTTGAGTTGTTTACCTTTCCTGTTTAAGGAGCTTCCTGCAGGATGAAATGTTTTAATCCTACAGAAAGGTGTTACACAACAGAAGGGTATACTATGGATCAACCGACTCTCTTCACTAACCGCGAAGCTAGAACAGTTTCTATACAGCCATCAAATGAAGAGTGACCCTTCTGCCTGAATCAGTTACAAGCCTGTGAAATAGTTGGTACTTTTCTCTGCAGTTAAAAAGGCAAAAAGGCATTCATCATTAACAACAACAACAACAAAATGATAACTCAAATTTGTGATTTTCTCTTTTATCTCCTAAATTATATTCTTTTACAATCCTCATCAGTCACCAATAAGGGCTAATTCGTGGCATATAATTTCTTCATTTCCATTATCCTGAATACTTGATGGAAACCGATTTTATTATGTACCCCAGAGGAACAGTTGGGAACTTGGAAGCTGGAGAGGGTTTGTGCATTTCAGCTTTAACTCTGTGGTTTGCATGTTAATTACTCTGTGCCTTGTTAAATGTATCTTATTAAAAAGGAAAAAAAAGAGAGGTAGAAAAAAAAGGAAGGAAGGAAGGAAGGAAGGAAGAAAGAGAGAGAGAGAGAGAGAAAGAAAGAAAGAAAGAAAGAAAGAAAGAAAGAAAGAAAGAAAGA